ACTTCCTGGGACATCACGTGACTGCCTCAGGTATCCGACCTCTCGACGCTCGCATGACCGCCATTCGTGAATTCCCACAGCCAGCTAGTGTTCGTAAGCTCCGTGAGTTCATCGGCTTCGTCACGTTCTATCACCGATTTCAGCCACATCTTGCTGCTAAGCTCGCACCTCTGCACGCTATGCTTGAGAAACGCCACCGCACCAAAGGCGCGCTCGTCTGGTCCGACTCGGCCATCGCTGCTTTCAATGATGTCAAAGCTGCGTTCACTGAGGCCATCACACTTCACCATCCTCGCCCGGATGCCGCCTACAGCTTGATGGTCGACGCTTCAGACATTGCTGTTGGTGCCGTCCTCCAACAAGAGCTAGATGGTGAGTGTTATCCTGTTGCCTTCTTTTCACGCAAGTTAAAGCCTGCTGAGACACGCTACAGCACCTTCTGTCGAGAGCTCCTCGCTATTTACCTAGCCATTAAGCATTTCCGACACTTCCTGGAAGGGCGTGTCTTCCATGTGTGCACCGATCACAAGCCTCTGACACATGCCATCCACAGCCGTTCACAGACCCACAGCCCGCGTCAACAGCGCCATTTGTCGTACATTGCTGAGTTCACGACAGATATTCGTCATGTCAAGGGTTCTCAGAATGCTGCCGCTGATGCACTGTCACGATGCCACCTACCCGATGAGCCCGTCTCTGCCATCACTGCCATTGACACAGCTTCCTTTGCCGCCGCTCAACAAGATGATCCAGACTTGCCCAGTCCTGGTAAGGATCCATCCACTTCGCTATGCTGGCAATCTATAGCTCTGCCCATGACTGATCACTCGCTCATCTGTGACACCTCTACTGCGTCTGCCCGCCCGTATGTACCTGCCAAGCTGCGCCGTGCTGTTTTCAATTCGCTTCACGGCCTCTCCCACCCTGGTACCCGCGCTACCAGGCACCTGATTACAGCTCGCTACGTCTGGCCCGCGATGAACAAGGATATTAGTGAGTGGTGTCGTTCCTGCCACGCTTGTCAGCAGTCTAAAGTTCAGCGCCACACCACATCTCCCGTGAGTGCATTCAAGCAACCTGATGCCCGTTTCTCCCATGTCCATGTCGACATCGTAGGCCCGCTTCCATCTTCTAGTGAGTCTCGCTACCTCTTGACGATGGTAGATCGCTTTACTCGCTGGCCCGAAGCAGTACCTATTCCCGACATTACAGCCGAAACCGTCGCTCGCCAGTTTGTTGCCACCTGGGTCGCCCGATTTGGTGTTCCCACTGTGCTCACAACCGACCGAGGTGCCCAATTTGAGTCATCCCTGTGGTCATCGCTCATGTCACTACTTGGCACATCTCGCATTCGCACAACGGCTTACCACCCGGCTGCCAACGGCATGGTAGAGCGCTTTCACAGACAACTGAAAGCTGCACTCCGAGCTTCCGACAATCCACAGCGCTGGACGGAACATCTGCCACTAGTCCTGCTCGGCATTCGCTCCTCCCTGAAGGCTGACCTCAACTGCTCAGTTGCAGAAATGGTCTACGGTTGCCACCTCCGCCTGCCAAGTGATTTCCTCACTGACGAGCCTGAGCCATTTCCGGATCCGACGTCCTATGTCAGCCGCCTCAAACAAGCCATGTCCGAGCTCCGCCCTACACAACCCCGCAAGCCACCCACCCAGCATCCGTTCATTCCAGCTGACCTCTCGACATGCTCTCATGTCTTCATTCGCACAGATGCAACACGAACGCCCCTCCAACGTCCTTACACTGGTCCACACCGAGTCCTGGAACGTCATGATAAGTACTTCCGCCTCGACCTCAACGGCCGCTCCGACACAGTATCCATCGACCGACTCAAACCCGCATTCCATGACAACCAGTCTGTCGACCATTGCCATCCGACCAAGCCGACGCCATCGCTCGCATTCGACGTGCCTCCGCCACGCCAAACACGAGCTGGTCGTCAAGTCAGATTTCCCGCCTATTTCTGACACTCTCTCGCTTATCCCATTTGCTTGCTCTCACTTTATCGCGCTAGTTATCGCTCATTACTCATTCACTAGGAGGGGAGCTCTGTAGCGTCTCTGACGTTCTCGCATCATGATATCATCATTTGTTTGCATGTACACGTCATATTTTCCTCATCATCACAAACACTGATTCACCATACTCTCGCACACATTGTAATACCTACTACACGTACTTCGCTACCATAATAATTACGTAATGTTTGGCTAGCATAGTTCCAATACACATTACGACATCTTTTGATGTTACGCACTCCTCGCCTACAACGCTATTGTAGAAAAGTAGTCTTTACTCATCTCTTGTAAGTTCTGTTTGCATCCAAACACTTCTTCCAAACAGCACACGTCAGATATCTAACAAAACAACAAACTTCATTGCACAGTCTTCTATCACAATCTCTTTCCTATATAAACCTCCTTTCTCTTCACTTTCTTCATGACATTTAGTGTTCGCCAGTCTTGTAAAGATCTTGGAAACTAACACTCGTTGCACTGTATCTAGACTACTAAACAACGACGATTCCTGATGAGTGTTGTACGAAAACTTGTTTGAATCCATATTTTTTCCCTACACCATTTCTTCATATTTTCATCGTTTTATTGCACATCGTCTCCACCGTTTTTACATTGCATGAATAAAGTACACAAATGTCGGTTCAGCTAGTTTTATTGATTGCGGTTATCAAATCCAAAGTTGACGAAAGAATTCACTGCTTTGAGGAAAAGTATGATCATACAATTTTGACTGTCACCACCAGAACTCGAACTAATGACAATCACTTGAGACTAGCGATGTTCTAACCACTGAGCTATCGTTTAACTGCAAGAAAAATCCCAAGTCAATGAAAAGAGCTCAAAGCAAATGAAAACAACCCAGAGTTAGAAGGAAAAGAACACAACCAGGCGCTCACAGAGCTCACAAAAAGAGCAACAGCATACAACACTATGATACAGCGACCCGGTCAAAGGCAAAACAAATGTGATGGATTGAACCTAGTAGTGGAACAAAGCATACATGTACATTTGTACATGTATTGGAGTCATGTACATGCACATGTGCTTGTATGCTCACAATGGCCTGAAGCTCTGACGATCTGTCTCGCAAGCCAAAAGCATCTTCGGCAGGCATTGGCGGATAATGCTCGAAAAGGTGGCAGATTTTGCTCGAAAAGCAGTGAAATTGACAGAACCATACAAACCTTATGGCTCCCAATTCCTCGAATTATGCTTCATTTCTTTATCCACCTACCAAACATGCATGAAACTTACCAGGAAAAGTACCGAATTCTGTCAATTTTTCTGCCGGCATTATCCGCAAAGGCCTAATCTCCGGGTTGTACATGTATGTGCATGTGCATGGATACAATTTCTCCGGCGTTCTGTGAGTGATATGGCAATTCTATGGTGCATGCAAGTAATCAGCCCCGTTCATTCTGGCGAAGCAAGATTCTGGCGAAGCAGGATTCTGGCGAAGCAAAAAAACATGTGTCTCCGAATTGCCCAAGAAAACCTAATCTCAAGGATCATCGAAGCCCACAGCACCGTCTGGCCATGTACATCTACATGTACATGACACATGTACAATGCATACTGCCCTGTGCCCATAATGCCTGTGGGTATGACTGTGTATATCCACGGCTGTGCCCAAACATGTACAAAACAAAGCTCCTGCTCCAGATGCGACACGTAACACTTATTTTCATTTTTCGCTTATTATGAAGCGTGAAGGACTTGAAAACAACCCCATAAATGGTATCGTAAATGTGCTAATGGGAGGTTGGCATACACTGTGGTGATAGCAATTGCGCAATCAGCGACCCATGCTGAGAGATGAATGCCGTGCAGAGGCCAGTGTCGACACATGTAGAGGGTTTGATGTCATGCAGACAAAACCTTGTAGATATACATAGACGTCCCGTTTGATGATCATTACCACATGACTCATGAGGATGCGAGGTCAGGGTCGATGACGTAATCTTGTCATGTACATGTACATACTGGAACACACGTACACGCTGATGAGAGGCAAAAGTCCAGTCAATTATTATTATAATTTTTAGTCTCCACACGAGTGCCATCCTTAGTGAGGCAATCGCCAGGCCACAATTTTCGTGTTTGTTTGCTTGTTTAGCTTCACTCTACTACACGATAGGCAACGGCAATATCTGCCTTCTCACTGGACAACGCGAAGCTTTGAACTAATACTCTGATAAGACATACATGTACTCTTTTTTTGAACGGACATTGCTCTGCGCACGAGCACGAGCACTGCATTGATCCACTCTAAAGTACATGCATGTCAGGGTAGGACGTAATTCCTGCCTCCTGCCTCGTGAGGATACGTAGGCTAAGAGTCGCACTGTACTTCCAAAACCCTAACCTGAGCAGGAATGTCAGGTGACTCAAGTATGAGGCACACGTCCCTATTTTAAGTACCAATAAGTGGGTCTTTGTGTCAGTTTCTTTGAAACTGAGAAGCCTGGCATCGCTTGTATACAAGTCATACAGCTCTTGAGGATCTCTATGTTAAAGAGTGTGTACGAGTGGGTACTCTACCGGGCACCCCAAGATCCAGTAGTGTAGACTGTACGTGTTCGTGATACTGGTAATCCTTTAAAATAATATTGTTGGAGGTCGACTATTTGCCAACTGATTCGTATGTATTGTTCCGAGCAGCCAATTTGTATGCTTGGTTGGACCAGGAAGTCATACTGTGTTGTCTGCATTTCATGCCTTGCTATCTGGCTCTGCTTCAGGGCTCGAATGAGGATGCGCAGGGGTTCTCAAAAGGCCTTGCCCAGCCCATTTGTTTTCAAGTGTTTCCAATTGTGCCGCGCCGTGCAACTCATGCACTGCAATCGTCTGAAACTGACAGATTACCAGAGGTGAACTGCACTTGATGGTGCACGATTACTCCGGTCAGCGATCTACTGCATGCACTGGGCTGGTTGGTTTGTCTCAGCTATGCTCACTGCCGTCCTACAATGTCCAGATCAAGCTAAGACAATGTGTCATTGCGCGCTGCATACCGGAGACGGTGCGAATGAAAGTTCTTGCTTGGTAGTCCGCAAACGCATACACACAACACGGTTCTCGCTTAGCAAGTGCACAGCTTATCAACCTCAAGTCAGATACGCCACCGTCTCGGTTGGTTACTGCATTGGCAAAGGCCACTGATAATCTAGGTGAGCGATCATGACCAGCCACTGAACCAGAGTTGTTCCATTTCTCAGTCGCAGAACTTGTACTGCTCTTGGCCGTACGGCAGGAGCCACCAGATGTGTAGGAATATCTAGGCATCCCGCTGCTAGCAACACCGCCGCCACAATGGACAACGAAAAGGGAAGAATGCCACTGACGCTTGCTGTGCATCGCCAGGACCAAAGTCCGACATGGGCTCTTTGCGCTGTTCTGGTGATAAGCTTCTGCATAGCGTTCGCTCACGGACAATCCGGAAGTACGTAATGTAGTTTAGAAACTAACCATATTCTAAAATGCATACAATCATGTATGTAAACGCAAGAGTAAATTCATGCGTCACAAATATTCTGCCAGACACACACTATCAGTACGTATACATACACATGAGAGCTCTCCGGTCATGCATACTGATTTAATTACAGTAAAACCTGTTTTAAGCGACCACCCCACGGTGCAAGCAAAAAAGGTCGTTAATGCCAGGTGGACTTTGGAACCAGGTCCCACAGTTTCTGTGTAGAACTGTCCGTGCATGGAAAAACGGTCGTTATGAGCAAGTGGTCGCTAAACCCAAAGGCCGCTTACACCAGGTTTTACTGTACATGATATCAGTGGTGTTACTGCATCAGCTGGCGCCACGCAACTGTGTGTACATGTAGAGAAAGGTGTGGTGTCCTCTTTAGTGGTTTAACAGTTTTGACGTGTTTTTAATAGTTCGTTTTCCAGAATCGGATAATGATGAAGTCGTAAGCCTTGTTGGGAAAAGCGAAGCGGATCTCCAGCCTTGAATGCAGTAAATATCCTCATTAAATCACACGCAAGAAGTAGCGCTTTCCAGTATATTTACCCGAAACCCTGGGACTCCATGTTCCTCCTTGCAGTTGTTAGGAAATGTATTGTCGTAAAACAAAGGGTCTGCGGAGGAGGGAGATGGTTGATACTGAATGAGTGTTACCATACGGAACTCTGTGGTAGAGATACTGTGTATAAGCATAATGTGGACTACACAAGAGGCATGCAAGGGACTCTGGCAACATCCCCTCCGATCTCGCGTCAGACTCTGCACCGTCGCACAATGTTCACTCCCTAAAGAAGGAACAGCGCAGTTCTTCATCCTAATAACATGATATTTGGGATTATAGAGAAGAGAGTGTAGGGCTTTGGTGTATAGTGGCAAATGCATCCTTATGATGTCACCACATATCGAGCATCATCACGAAAATGACATAATTGTCCAACTTTTATACCTAAACTTTTGCCAGATTTCCAAGGGTCACATTACAACATCAGCACAGACGACATAGAGTGGGAATCGGCCCGGTCGAGATGTGTGAACAATGGTGGTGATCTCGTGTCCATTGGCACTGAAGAGGAGCAGGATTTCCTGGATGATACGTTTGTGGACGATGCTTGGATTGGACTGAATGACAGATCGGTACGTGTTCGTAAAAAAATTGATAATTTAATATTCTCTTCAGAACGGTGTGCAGCAGCTGTCATCCTGAGTTTACTTTATTCGAAACTCCTACCTTTGCAAATGCACTCTCTTGTCTACGTAGCTCACCGCACTAGCCACCTAACGTTACAAGACCACCGTTTGCTAAAAAATGACAAAAACTCCCCCATAAAGCATATTTCCGAAACAACTGTATGGGAGGAGTGTGTGCCAGAATCTAGAACAACGTGGAGTCGTGCTGATGGTGTGGAGCACGGGCTCAGCGTAATATTGATTATCATGTTTCCTGGTTTGTTAGGTAATGATATGAGAGGCATTCTTGGGGAACTCGAAAAGTGTACACGCGTGCATTCAGTCTTGTGACCCGAATACCCGTAATGGATGCGTTGGCCGGTTGGATGGAAGGGAATTTCCATAAAAAATTCCCTTTTGATTCTACATGAAATGCCAAGGTGTACAAGTAGTCTTGTGGAATTCCTGGGTTTAAGACGACGAAACGCAGTGCTTTGAATTGCTTAGTATGACGTATGTAGTGTGTAACAGGTTTAATCAAACTTGAAAAGTAAGAGGCCTGGTTGAGCGCGCCTCGACCAGTTATATGCAAAATGTGATAGTATACATGTGGCAATGGCGCCAATGAAGGTGCTAATAGACAGGCGTAAGACGCATGAGGTGCGAGGGAGTGTAAAGTTATAGAGAACAGGGGAAAACTGTTACATCATCCCCCTCCTATGGAGAGGAAGGAGCTTATAACCCAAATGCTCAAGTGGAATAGAGTACAATAAGCGCAAACACGTGCGAGACGAAAAAGGCTTCGCACTGAAGTAACACAATAAGACGACTGAAACTCCATGCAAATAAAGTGTAATAAGCTCAACAAATGTGTAAGGTGAAACTAGAAGTTCAACTGCAAAACTCAGCGGGCAGAAGCCAAGGTTTTGTACTTCTGAAGTGGAACAATGTCATTACCAGATTCATCCAACAAATAATGTTCAGGCTCCCAAGTGGCATCAGAGTAGCCTTGCCACTTGACTAGGTACTGAAGCTGATTCTGCCGGCGGCGGTGACTGAGAATGTTCTCCACCACATAGCGGGCATGACCATCAAGGTCCGTGATAGGCGGAGGCGTAGGCTGTCTCCTATTAGGAATAGCGTTCTTCTCGTAGGCACGGAGTGCCGACACATTAAATACCGGGTGACAGCGGCTGGTATGAGGCAACTTGAGCTTGTAGGCATTCGGGCCGACCACATGGGTTATAGGAAAGGGGCCAAACCACTTGGGGCGTAATTTATGGGATGGTCGGTCCCGAGCTTCAGGAGTCAGGAGGAAATCCCGGTAGACCATTACCAAATCTCCCACCTTCAGCTTTCCCTCGACCCTTGTCCGATCTGCATAGAAGGCCTGACGAGCTTGAGCTGCCACTAGCGCATCTTGTGAGATCTTGACCGCGTCTTGTCTTGCTTGCAACCAATCAGCTGAATCTCTGCCTCCCTGAATAGGGTTGAGGAAGTCGGGTGGTGCTCTGGGATTTAGACCGTAATTTAAGAAGAACGGTGTGTTTCCTGTAGATGATTGAGTAGCGCTGTTGATAGAAAACTCACAGAGAGGTAGGAGCATATCCCAGTTATCTTGTTTATGATTTACAAAAGCCCTCAGCACATCCTCAACTATTCTGTTTACTCGTTCAGTTAGGCCATCTGTCTGAGGGTGATTGGCAGTACTAAATGCTAGTTTCGTTCCTAAGCGATCAAACAATTCCTGAAAAAATGCTGCCGTAAATCTTGGATCACGATCACATACAATACTAGAACTCAAACCATGAAGTCGAAATACATGTTGAATATACAGATCAGCACTTCCTTTAGCGTCAATAGTAGAGGAAGTAGGTGCTAAATGTACACACTTTGTCAAGCGGTCTACAAATACATATATAGCATCATGACCTGTGTCGGTCCTAGGCAAACCCATGATAAAATCCATCGAGATATCCGCCCACGGCTGACTGGGCACTGGTAAATTCTGCAAGAGACCAGTTTTTAGCTGGCCGCCTTTAACTCGTTGGCAGACGTCACATGACTTGACAAACGCCTTTACATCCAGTCCCATTCTGGGCCAATAGAAATATCTAGCGAGTCTGAAGTAGGTGCGATCTCGACCGGGATGCCCCGCAGTCACACAGTCATGGTATTCTTGAAGCAGGGCGAGTCGGAGTTTGCTACTCTTTGGAATGCATAACCTGTTCTGTGGTGAAGATCTGAGATAAAGATAACCGGGTGTTTCATTTAGAAGGTAACGGTCGTGCAGATTGTCATGGCTTGAATTTTTCAGTCTCCTGATAATGGGAGCAAGATCCTTGTCGCACTTGTAACCGCTGACAATTAACTGCGCTAAGTCTGGATTAATCTCTAGGGTATGCTCTATGGCATTCAACTGAATGTTAGGAGGATAGGATGACCCGCCTATTTCAGAATCACTGAACAGATCTGGACGGCGTGAAAGCGGGTCGGCAATGTTTTTCTTTCCTGGTTTGTGAAAGACCGTAAAGTCATAGTCAGCTAAAAACTCTACCCATCTTGCCTCACGCTTGGTGAGAGTCGGTTTGGTTCGTAAATAGACAACACCCATATTATCAGTCATCAGGTCAAAGTGGCGGAATAGATAGATTCTCCAGCACTTTAATGCAAATACCACAGCCAACGTTTCCCTCTCGGCCGCAGTATAGTTGCGTTCTGCAGCTGACAGTTTCCGACTACAATAGGCTACGGGATGCAAATCCATATCTTCTCCCTGCTGCAGGAGCACACCCGCCACGGCAAAGTCACTTGCGTCAGTTTCTACCGTGAAGCTTTTCTCAACATCGGCCAGTTGCAACACTGGCGCCTCGAGTAATGCTGATTTTAGAGACTCGAATGCCTTCTGTCTAGCAGCGCTCCATTCAAAGCGTGAATTTTTTCCGGTGATTTCTTCTAATGGACGAGAGATGGTCGAGTGTCGATCTATGAACCTTCGGAAATAGTTTGCAAAGCCAAGAAACTTCCTCACATCAGTTACTGACGACGGAGTTGGCCATGTTTCCACAGCACTTATCTTCTTGGGATCAGGGGAAATTGATGTGCCGTTGATTTTATGCCCCAAGAAGAGAACTTCTCTCACGCCGAATTCGCATTTAGACTGTTTGCAATACAGCTCACTATTTCTAAGTGTTTCTAGAACTGTTTGAAGATGATGCTGATGATCTTCCCAGGTCTTGCTGAAAACTAGAATGTCATCCAAGAATACTACAACGAATTTTCGGAGATGCGGTTGCAGAATAGAGTTCATGAGTGACTGAAAGGTGGCCGGGGCATTAGTCAGCCCGAATCCCATGACTCTAAATTGGAAGTGGCCGAACGGCGTATTAATGGCCGTCTTAGAAACATCCGAGTCTTGAATTCTGATTTGATTGTACCCCGACCGCAAGTCCAACTTGGAGAAATATGCACTGCCCTGGATCGTGTCGAATAAGTCATCAATATTAGGAAGACAAGCTTTGTTTTTGATCGTAATTCTATTCAATTCTCGCCAATCGCACACCATTCTCAGAGTACCATCCGACTTTTTCACAAAAAACACAGGTGCACCGTATGGCGACTTACTTGGCTCAATGAATCCCTTCTCAAGTAATTCTGACAGCTGTGACTGGAGCTCGTCCATCTCTGGTTTCGGCAGGCGGTAGGCGGGTCGAGACGGTGGTCTGGCTCCATCTTCTATCTGGATTTCATGGTCGACTGGTCTCTTCGGTGGAAGCTCATTCGGCAGCTCGTCTGGAAATAAATCCTGGTACCTCTTGAGCAGGTTCTGGATGTCTTGTTGCTCTGATTCCTGGAGTTGTGGCCCGGAACGATTCTCCTCGTTTGCAGCAGTGACCCATGCAAGAAACCCCTCGGCTCCACTCCTCAGGGCATGACGAGCTTGTCGGCCACTGATAAACATGCTTTCCACAGATGGCCGGTCGGCTGTCGGCGGGTTAGCTGAAGGCAATTTGGCAACAAAGGGCTCACCGTCCAACTGAACTTCGTTCGTACGGAAGTTGATGCTGGGGTTGTTCCTTGTAAGCCACGGCTTGCCAAGAATAGCGTCGTAGCGAGTCAGGGGGTACACAGTAAAGTGCTGTTCCTCACTGAAGCCCCCGACTGTCACCCTTAGCGTGCGTGTGGAAATCTGCGGGACCTCGCTGGTCGAGCCGTCCGCCAATGTTACGCTCAGCACTGCTGAGCTTGCATCCGTGTCAAGATGATGCTTTCGAACAAAACTGTCTGCAATGAAGTCATGCGTCGAACCGGAATCTATCAGCATCACTGCACGGCGACCGCCGATCTTTCCCTGTATGCGCAGTAGGTCGTGTTCAGGTTCATTGCCGACGCTGACGTTGCTGACATGACACCTTTCTGCAACGGGACAATTTCCTACAGCTATGGGTGTCTCCGGCTCCGTAGGTTCCTGGAGAGCAACGTCTTCAACCTCCAGAGCTCCGAACCGGTTAGCGACTGGTACCGGCGTGGGTGCTTGGGTCGTCGCCAGTAAGCGCACCCCCTTTCTTACTGGCGACCAGCGTTTGGGTAGCGCTGTCCACCCTCAGTACAGTCTTTAGCGAGGTGGCCTGGCTTCCTGCAAGCAAAGCAGTGTCCCATTGCTCGCAGTTGGACACGCTCTTGGTCCGTCAGCTTGCGGAGGCCCTGAGTCTGACCACGGAAGCTGGGCACGGAACGCGACTCTCTACTGGCTGGTGGCCCCGACGCCGGTGGCCCTGACGACTGCTCCACGGTGTTTGCTGCCATGACAGCTTGCTCCAGGGTACGTGGATGCTCACGCATGACCTGTCGCTGGATGTGCGGCACTAGACCCCTGACGAACAGCAGCGCTCTGGTGTGGTGGTCGATTTCCGGCACTTGCAGGCTGAGGCGAGTGAAAGCAGCAATGTATGCGTCCAGCGACCCGCGCTGCGCTGCGGAAATTAGTCCCATACGCGATGTTTCCTCGTTGTGCCGTGGTCCGTACATGTACATATCGCCAAGTGCCGCTTTCAGAGCAGGCCAGTCGGAAAACACTTGGTTAGCTTCCAATGCCGCTATCAACCAAAGACGAGCGTTTCCAGTCAAAAATCCTGCCGCGTAGTCGACCCTCTGTGCCGCATTTGGGAGCGCCAACGACCGTAGGGCCATGTCCATTGCAAACGTCCATTCTTTGAATGTAGCGGAATCTCCTCCAAACACAGGCGGCTCTTTCGTAAGGCGGGGTGTTGGCTCCCACGGTTCCGAGTTCGGATGTATCGTTCGGTTTCCTTGGCTAACGCGCTGAGCGGTCTTGATATCGTTTATCAGCCGAACGACGAGTACGAGGAGCGTAAGCAGAGCGACCAGAACACCTGCCAAAAGCAGAGTAGGAACCATCCTCTGCTACCAGTGTAACAGGTTTAATCAAACTTGAAAAGTAAGAGGCCTGGTTGAGCGCGCCTCGACCAGTTATATGCAAAATGTGATAGTATACATGTGGCAATGGCGCCAATGAAGGTGCTAATAGACAGGCGTAAGACGCATGAGGTGCGAGGGAGTGTAAAGTTATAGAGAACAGGGGAAAACTGTTACATAGTGGCTATAATACTCTGTCCAGTTGGGGGACTTGACGCTTGCCACTCACGCAGGCAAAGCATGCTGGGAGAAATAATTTACGTCAACCCATGTATGTTGAAAAAGACATTCAATTTGTGCTTCCAATGTATAAAAAATAGTAATAACAAAATGGTTTGCATGGGACTCAGCTAGAGACCGAGCCTTTCGCAACTGCAGGAACGCCACCACCCTCAAATATCAAGGCGCAGATGAGGTGGGTGGTGAGTTGATCATTCCCGCCACCAAAGTGGTCTAATACCGTAAATCCCATGCATCTCGATCATGGTCGTAGATCATCCGATTGTGCCTGCTTGCAACGTAAGATCAACTACATTTCAATGTAAACCTGTTTGTGTTGCTGTATTATGGCTGCATGCAGGTGGAAGGCACATTTGTGTGGACAGATATGACGGAGTCTAGCTACGAGGAATGGGCTGGTGGAGAACCTAGCACGGGACCAATGGCGAGAAATCGAGACTGTGTAATGTTGCATGCTGGAGATAATGATTGGGAGAATGAGAGATGTGATCGACGGCTGCAATATATCTGTGAATTTGGTAAATGAAGCATGTGTGTTATGATTGTGTTTCTGTGTGCGTGGGTGTATACTGTTGGTTTTTGTGTGCATGCGAGTGTGTACGTGTCTGTGGGCATGTATTTCTAAGCTTGTAGGACGTATCCCATGAATTAATGACTTTCGCCGTATCCTCGACGGCCAGTACACTATAATAAACTGGGAAATCCTCGCATAGCCTTTCGAGTATGTTAGATCTCATCTGCCAGGCTACAAGTGCCTGACTGACCAGATAGCAATGACGCCCAGCGAACAAAAATAATAATAATAATAATAGCACATTTCGCGTAGTCTAGTAGAGCACTAAATAAAGAAATTCAGTGTTTTTTCCGCTTCTGTCTTGTGAGCATCATCAGCTAGGTGTAGTAGCTGCTGATACTGATTTCTCCTAGGGTGTCGAGATGCACAGTTTCTTCCAGTCTGTCTTGTCTGCTGCTTGTTGTCGGCACCTGGAAAGGTTTTCCATGGTCTTCATTGGCACACCCAGCTCATTCAGCTGAGCGACCAGACTTGTGGCCAGTGTCAACCTTGGCCGTCCACGAGGTGATTTGCCTTGTCAAAATAGCTGCTCATGGCTACTTGCGGTGGCGTGTCCGTGTCCATCCGTAGCACATGACCGAACAAAAAAGCATTTTTCAATTCGCTCAAAGCATCAAAAAGTCAAAAATAGTCAAAGTCAAAGTGCTCCAACTCTGAGATGCATAACAATAGTCAAACAAAAGAAGTCAACTTAATTTGACACTAACCAGAAGGAGTAGTCAACGAAGCCTATGAAAAATACAAGCCAGGAATATCCCTCTACATCGCCCTCCAACTAGCGACAAAGTGAAGATGTTTTGCAGCATGTTAGTTCCCTGGGTAGTGCATCAACTGGGCCTCTCTGCAATATCTACTATTTATACACCACAACCTTAGGAATTTTAGGCTTGCCTCACCATGCAGCACAGACTCCTTCTAACAGCCCCCACATTTCCCATGGTTGCGTTGTCCTGCTGTCCCCTATTCTCACGAGTCGGTTGTGTATTTCGCAAAGAAAAAAGTTCGTTTTTCATGGAAGCGCTGCATCAAAGTTTCTTCCGAACTATACTACTCGACTTTGATCGCTCCTACTGAGCCACGAGGGAGTCCTTGCATAAATGCCCTTCTACCCAATTTTTTTTGCAAAGGTACAATCTGGAAAAGGCGCTCTTTGCCACTGGGCTCCGGCGGATTATGCTCATGAAATCATGGAATTGTGCTTTCGTGAATTCTCGCATTATGCTCACAAAATTCTCATGTTATGCTTTGGCACGGCGTGAAACATGTTCATTTTGTTGTACTTATGGAGTCTCAAAGTTCGGGAAATTGTGCCCTTTTCGTACTTGCAAGTGGCCATAAGTACATTAAAATACATGGATATCACCATACAGTGGTGTCCATTCATGCTAGAGATCAACATGAAAAAGAGAAAACCTTACTTCTTCTATTCATTTGTTGACTTCTTTTGTAAAACGATTTTTTCATTACCAGATTATAATTATTGAACTCGGATACTGAGCCAGTAGTAAAATGTATAAAAAGAAGAAGAGAAGAAACGCATGAGAACGAGTTATGCAGCAACTATCCACGACTGTACTATGCAGCAACTATCCACGACTGTAACAAGATGATAAACGGTCAGAAAGTGCGATAATAGGGTGGGACCAATGCTGTGGATCAATGCACTCGTGCTCAGAGCAATGTCCGTTCGAAACAAGACACAATGTAGTTCCACACGACGTACTTTTCACCGTGTTGTTAGTGACGACTCATCAGGAGTACAAAATTTAAACTCGGATACTGCACCAGTGATATAATGTAAAAAAAGAGAGAAGAAACACATGAAAACGAGTTATGCAGCAACTATCCACGATTGTAACAAGATGATAAACGGTCACTGTGCGGCCATGAGGCCCAACTTCGGGAAACCCGGCTCCGCGACAGGCTCATCTGTGGCCTAAGGGATCGAGCGATGCAACGACGGGTGCTCGAAGAAGAGTATGCCAGTGAGTTATCGCTCGATCGGGTCATGCAGATATGCTCTGCATACGAATCCGCTACCGATACGGAATCTGGCCTCGGTGAGCAGCTGCCCGACCTGGCGTTGGCGGCGGCAACGAAGTCCACTTACAAGCGTCAGCAGGCGCAGGCACAGACGCTGAAGTCGGACGTAGGCACGTGCAGGTTTTGTGGGGAGACTCACCCCAAGGGCCAATGCAAGGCCTATAACCAGACATGCCGCTTGTGCCTCAAGGTGGGTCACTTTGCCAGGGTTTGTCAACAGCGGACCTCGCCCTCACCAGGAACGACGTCTGTCGACTCGCTGTTTGTCAACCAGGCTGGTCCTTCTAGGAACAAGCTGGTGACGGTTGGCGTCGCGATCCAGGGAGGATCGTCATGCGCTATCGGGTGGCTGCCGGACACGGGCGCGGATGTGGACGCCATCAGTCTTACCGACCTGGATGGTATCGACCCAAGCCTCAGGATGAATCTAGTGCCGGACACAGCTGATGTCAAGGCAGCTAACGGTACAGCTTTGGATTCCATGGGCAAGCTCGAGGCTCAGTTGTCCTTGAGCGACACTACCACCGTGTCGACCCTGCACGTATTCCGGCAGCTGAAGACACCTCTGCTCAGCAAGGACACGTGCATGAAGTTGCGGCTTCTCGAGGATGGATGGCCTCACTCCCGTCTAAGGGTACAAAGCGTGGCAAACATCTCCATCCCTCGGAAGCAAGCATCCGAAGTCGCAGACACGTCAGTAGGTACTGCGTCGACGGCGGCTGAGGAAATCCGACGTACCTTGCTGGAAGAGTTTCCAGAAGTGTTCTGTGATACCCCGCTCAAGCCCATGAGCGGTGAGCCGATGCGCATCGAGCTCATCAATGGCGCGTCGCCATGCCGCCTGTATCGCGCTCGCTCCATCCCATTCAGGTGGCGGGACGCGGTGCAGAACCAGCTGTCCGACATGGTGGGCAAGGGCGTCATTGAGAAGGTGCCTGTCGGCGAAGCGTACACTTGGTGCCACCCACTGGTGGTGGTCCCTAAGAAGAATTCCAGTGAGCCGCGCATCACGGTGGACCTGACAGGTCTAAATAAATGGGTCAAGAGGCCGGCATACCCAACCCGAGTACCTCGGGAAGTCGTCGCGTCGATCCCAATGGGGATGCAGTACTTCACCACCCTAGATTCTCGCCATGGCTACTGGCAGGTACCCCTCGACGACGATAGCACCAGGCTCACAACGTTCATGACGCCATGGGGTGCCTACCGTTTCAAGCGGAACGTCATGGGCTTGGTGTCGGCAGGTGACGAACACAACCGGAGAGGAGACGAAGTGTTCGCCGGGTTTTCGAATCTTCAGAAAGTGGTAGAGGATGTGATCGTGTACGACACTGAGCTTGAGGCGCACACCCAGAGGGTTCGCAATGTGCTCAAGCTTTGCTCGGAAAACCAAATCACACTGAACCGCCGCAAATTCGTCTTTGCGGCACCCAGAGCATCGTACTGCGGATTCGTGGTGACGCCGGACGGCTACAGTCCTGATCGAAGCTTGGTGGAGGATCTACACAACTTTCCAATCCCTACCAACCGCACTGATATCCGATCCTTCTGTGGACTCGTGCAGCAGTTCGACGCGTTCACGCCGCGACTAGCGGAGCTTCTATCCCCGATCCGCTCTCTGCTCTCTCCAAAGAATGAGTTTATCTGGGAGGATCCGCAGCAGCAGGCATTTACAGCTATACTAGAGGAGCTGGTAAGCCCTCGAGTGTTGGCTACCTTCGACCCTGCACAGCCGCTTCGTCTCGAGACAGACGCCTCGCAGTCAAACGGTCTCGGCATGGCACTGTGGCAGCAGCAAGTGGACGGGCGGTGGCGTCTAGTGCAATGTGCTTCACGGCACGTCACTGAGACCGAGGCCAGGTACTCTGCAACGGAGATTGAACTGCTGGCGGTAGTCTGGGCAGTCCACAAGGCTAGACTGTTCCTGGCCGGTGCTGATTTCGAGCTGCTAGTCGATCACAAGCCGCTCATTCCTATCCTGAATGCTAAGACGCTGGATGAGTTGACGTCTCCACGAATCGTGCGACTACGAGAGAAGCTAACGCTTTTTCGGTTCGTGGCTCAGTGGAGACCGGGTGCCGATCACAAGGTCGCAGATTGCCTGTCGAGACACCCAGTACGTGCACCAGACCCTGACGATGAAGCTGGTGAGGAAGAAATCGAGCACTGCTACTGTGTTCTCCGTCAGCTGTCGCAAGAGGACGAGGAAACAGGCCATACAGTCCTCCCCGACCTTGGCATTACGAAGGTGCGGGCGGAGGGCTCGACGGACCCGGAATACCTCAAGCTGCTGAACGCCGTAAAGAACGGCTTTCCGGTGGACAAGGCTGCTCTGGACCTCGATCTGCACCCGTACTGGCAGGTTCGGCATGACCTGTCGGTCGAGGACGGCATAGTGTTGTTGGGTCACCGTATTGTCGTTCCCAGAAGGTTACGCCAGACCACGCTGGAGCAACTTCACGCTTCTCATCAGGGACAGACCCGCACACTCCGCAGGGCCAGGCAAGCAGTGTACTGGCCCCAGATCTCCAATGACGTTAAGAACGTCGTCCAGACTTGCAGATCCTGCATCACGCTGCTCCCCTCCCAACCTTCTGAGCCGCTCCTCTCTGACAGTCGTCCGTCCAGACCGTTCGAAGATGCAGCTGCGGACCTCTTCTCCCTAGGCGGCTTCGAGTACCTGGTTCTCACCGACAAGTTTTCCGGCTGGCCATTTGTTGGGCGTTGTGGGAGGTCGGCTACCACGTCTGACGTCACCAAACATCTCGTTCAGTGGATGTCGGACGTTGGCGTTCCTACGCGCCTCACGACGGATGGTGGGCCGCAATTCAGATCTTCAGCGTTCGCTTCGTTCTGCTCAGAGTGGAACATTTGCCACGACCCCAGCAGCCCGTACAATCCTCAGTCAAATGGCGCGGCTGAGGCGGCGGTCAAGGCCATGAAGCACTTATTAATGAAAATTGGCAAAGGTGACGCCTATAACAGCAGTGCCTTCAGAGAAGGGTTGCTGGAGTGGCGTAACACGCCTGGGCCAGGAGGAGCAAGCCCGGCCCAGCTGCTGTTTGGAAGGCCAACGAGGACCAAGGTTCCCACACTTCCTGCAAATCTGCAGCAGTACGCTGCCCACAGCCGCAGTGCTCCCCAGCAGGTCTCATCACAGCTTGGCAAACCTCTGCCCCCTCTGCACGTAGGCGATAAGGTATGGATCCAGAACCAGTCTTCAAAACGCTGGGATATGGAAGGAACGGTCACAAAATGCACGAGAAGAGGACGGAGCTACACAGTGCAGACAGTGACGGGGTCCAGCTTCTGGCGGAACAGACGGTTCCTCCGGCCACGTGCATAGATTGACTGGGCATGCTTCTCTTGCTTTTCCCTTGTTGCTTGTGCGCTACGCTGTGATTTTCGAATTTCAGTTTCAGGATTTTCTTTGTGTTAGTGCTCCCAAGTCGCACTTAAGCCGAGGGGGCATGTGGTGATATTGTAGCACCTTTCCCTGCATGGGTCTTGGCACTCAGGCTGCTAGTGCTACTGTTCGCACCCTAGGCCCTGCACTGCTGTACCTCTGGCGCCTTGCACATAACACATTCACATGTCACCTTTCAAGCCGCCTTTGCAGCCAGCTTCCCTTTAAAAGCCATTGCGTTTTACTGATGATTCATTCTCATCTTTCGAAGAGTTGGTCTGCCTTGAGCAGGACACAACAGTCAGAAAGTGCGATAATAGGGCACAAAACTGACAGGCTACTGAGTCATTCAGCGACCCGAGACCAAGCTTCAACACATCTCCAGTGCGCAAACCAACAGCCTTCCAACTTGGAAGGTTCATGGTAACATTTTTATTTGGTGGTTGCGTGTGCCTGCTTTGACACGGCATGTGCACACGGCACGGCACAGTATACGTATGCGCTTGCGTATAATTTTGTTTATCTGTGTATGTGCTGGGCTTGCAGCTATCCCAGTGACTCAGCCGCCAAATACGGAGTCGACTATACGCATTGCCGAAACAACCTCACCCAGCGAGTTCGGAACTGGACGCATAACCGAACCCACTCCTCCCCCCATGTCATCGTCAACGTCAACATCAATGACGGTATTGACAGTTGCTACCTCAGCATCGACACCCATAACCAATGTTATGTCTTCGTTTCCCCTAAACGCATCTACCTCTATGGCCATAACGTCGAATACTACAGACAGAGTATCGAACACAGCGGCACCAATTTCAGAATCAACGTCGCGCACACAGCCGGTGGAGCATACCACTACGGCAGGTCTGTTGATCACGTCTGCACCGCCTGAGGAGGTCAGCTCATCTTCTATCTCTATGATCATGACGACACTTTCTGGCCCGATCACGCTAGGACAAGGATCTGACTCTTCAGGCGTTTCTGCAGGCCTTATCGCCGGCATTGTTGTCGCTGTTCTCGTTGTTCTGATGGGAATCGCAGTTTTCGTCCTCATTCGGCGCAGGAGGCGAGCAGCGTACATTTCCCCTGCCAGTAACAACACAAAAGTTGGAAGTAAGTGGTGAATGGTTCTGAACATTCAATTGCTACCATTGAAGACATTATCCAGTGTTGGATATTGTGTGTAAGTTGTTGTGCCAACACGTGCTGTAGAGCACAAGAGTATTTGCGCTGGTATCTGAAAGATTGTATCAAGGATTATTAATTTCACAATGACCTAGGAATTGAGATTGCAATGTTGCCTTAAGGGCACGGCATGCGACGTGCACAGTATTTGTTTGTTTCTTGTTCGCTTGTGTTCGCACGTTATACGGGAGCTGGGCCCAATAACATAAAGGCCAGTATGGAACAAAAGAAACAAAGGCGGAAAGGACCTAAAATGACAGGAAGACAAAGTCGCGATGAACGGGCGCAAAGGATGGATGGAAATTGGAGCGTACATACTATGTCAAATTAATGAAAGATATTATACAGGTCTGGGTGGGGTCGAGCGAAGAGCAATGCGATGTGTATCGACAAACAATCATCATTATTCTTTTGTTCCACGATGGC